TTTTTTCTTCCAGTTGCATCTCCTTTTGTTACTCCAGTTCCGGTGTTTCTTTTTCGGAGTTTGTGTTGGCATTATTGAGATGCTGGACCCGGTTTCCAGCTTTGCGGCAAATCTAGGTAATGGCCTCAGCACTCGGGTTGAGATAAGGAGGGATTCCCGGCCTCCGTGGCTTTTGATTAATATAAAGCAAACTCCCCTTTAAAATGAAAAAACGAAAAACAAAAGAGGGAACTACAGCGAGTCATGATTTCAAGTTTTGAATGCACGTCAGTCATTCCCCCGAACATAACACACCACCGGACGCGAATCCTGGCTTGTATACAGTCAGCATCTCCGGGCATTTTTTTTTTTTGCCTAGACTGCATTTAAAAGTGGAAACCCTGATTGCGCCGTAGTTACTTTTTTGTAAAAAAAATAATAAAAAAAACGAACAACGAGTGTGCGGGTGTTCATGTGTTTGGAGAGGAAGTACCTTCCCAACCAGGAAACCATTTGTTTTTTGTTTTGTTTTTTTTGGGTGGCTGGGGGGGGGGGGGGGGTTAGGGGAGGGGAGGAAGAACCTGCGTTGTCTGCGACAGAGGTGGTATGAACATGCCCCACTGCCTGTCCCCACTGCCTGCCTTCTACCCCGACCTCCACATTTCCACCACGCAGCAATGCTGCACCTAGCCAGCTATGGCTGGTACCTTCGTCCTGGCTGATCCCGCAGCAGCTTCTTCTCCATTCCATGGGCACAGTGCTACATCTATTTACAAATATATACTATCTAGATTATAGAGTCTATACATATACATTGATTTAATATAATGTATATGTCTAGACTCTAGACAACATCTATTAACAAATCTGTAGTCTCTAGAGTCTATACATATGCATTGAATTAATATGATGTATATGTATAGAGTCTATAAAGTAGTATAGACTCCATCTATTTACAAACATATAGTCTATACATATGCATTGAATTGATATAATGTATATGTATAGACTGCATCTCATTTCAAGGCTGTCGGGAAAGAAAAAACACAGGTTGGATCTTGAAGAAACATGTGTGTTGGTTGGTGCCTTGCAGTGGCCGTGACCAAGGGCCCGGCTTGTTTGTTGAGAATGTATATATATATAATTAGAACTAGATTATATATATATGATCAGTCGGTGAAACCCCGACGAAACAGTTTGTCACAGCCCGTCGTTTGTTGTCCTCTTCTCCCTTTTGTCCCTCCCTCTCTGACTATGGTTTACCGGGCAGCTCTGTTTGACTATATATAGAGAGAGAATACAAATAAATACACCCCTCTCAGCTCTACTACCCCCTTCGGCTGGCCACCAAATTCGGGTGAAAAGTGAGCAGGAGCCATGTGCATTCAAGGGCAATGATGTGGATGCACAGTCCGTTTCTCCTTTTTTTTCTCCCCAGGCAGGTGACGCTTGTGTGTGGGGTCTGGAAAAAGTTTGACCTGGAAAAAGTTGAAACACGGGGCCTTGCCACACCACTCCTAAATCGAAGAAAATTTTCGGGAGTACTTCCGTCTTGAAAACTCGTGGAATCCTATTAGAGAGTGCCCTTGGGCCTTCGCCACACTGGGCTCTCGTACGGGGGCGCTCCTGAATTCCGAAATTGACCGGAATTGACAGAAAGCCACTTCCCGACCAGGGCAGTCAGGCAAAACCTCTTGTCCTTCATGGTCGACTCGGGATTTTCAAGACCAAACTCGGACGTCCGCCCGAGGTCTCTCGAAAATGGCAATTTGTAGGCGGGCACAGAAAGGAAACTGTACTCTTGCTCTCGGGCCCGGTCCTCTGGCAGCTCTCGACCTCACTTTCGGGAGTGTGGCGATGCCGCACTCACAAAAACACCAATTTCGGGAGTGTTGTGGCAAGGCCCCCAGTCCTCTTTTTTTCCCCAGGCGGGTGGTGCTCGTCTTTGGGTTCTGGAAAAAGTTTCTGCCTGTCTTCCCCTCCCCCCCCGGCCCCCCCCCCCCCCCGCCCCTCGCCCAAAAGATAAGAAAAACGTTGCCTTTATATTTATCGACTGTATAACGACGTGATGACATAAGCATGCACAGTGCCATGCCTGTCTCTTATACACATCTAGATGTGTATAAGAGACAGCCCCCGCCCCTCGCCCAAAAGATAAGAAAAACGTTGCCGCTCGCTCAACAGTTGAATGTGAGTGCAATTTCAGCGCGCCACAGAGTTGTAGGGGGGGTTATTAATCATGGTTCCTTGGACAAGAGGACTGGTCATCGCAACTGTATTTGGCCTGAACTTCGCTCCGCGTACAGCAATGATTAAGATTGGCCAGAAATGGTCATTGCAGTTGTATGCGGGCTAAGATGTGGTCCTCATACGGCAAGGATGACCACCACGGCCTCCATCCGGATGGGGGGAAATGGTGACAACGTGCATGCATTTGGATCAAAAGGGGTGTTAGGAGGGCAATGTCCCGCCAGCAGAGAGGACTGGATTTAATGCCTGAATCTGGCCGTGTTTGCGAAGAGGTGCACAAACTCACTATTCATTTGTTTCTTTGCATGTCTGCATAAAAGTCATCCACATTCAGCCGTTTAGTCCAATCCTCTTTGCTAGTCGGACCTCGCCCCAGCTAGGTAAGCCCAGTCTCGACGCCTGGCCCTCCGCCGGCCCACACGAGGTTCATTTAGTTGAGGGTGCCACACTTTTATTGCTGTCCTTCTTCACCTTTAGCAAGCTCAGGTATAGAAGCGCACCGTCCTCACCCGAATAGAACACCCAGTCCTTGTCACTGTATCTTGTGTGGAAATTGCCCCAAATGCGGCTATGATGACTGTGCGCTCTGTTTCGCGTGAAGACAGTCGTGGTCGGATACACCACACACAGCCTACCTTTCTACTCGGTCGTAGGT